GCAGGTGCCGTTCTGTGAGGCCGTGGGGCAGCCCCTCAGCTTCCCAAGGCTTGGTTTCTCCATCTGCCTGAGCTGACACAGGCTCAGGGCTCAGGAGACTTGCAGATAATAAGAGGCTGTGGGAGAGCTCTGTAACCCTGCCCATTTAACTCATTAACAAGGGTAGGAGGGCGTGGTAGGCAGGGGACTCTGCAGGAAATGAAACAGGGTCCCTGTCCTCAAGAGTTAGGTTCTGATGGGGGGAGACAGTAGATGCAGATACAGCCACAAGGGGGTCAGAACTCTGAGATGGGTGGGAACTGGAGGAGTCCACACTCCAAACCAGGGCACTGAACCGGTTCATTCCAGTTCGACCTCCTTCTGAGAATGTGCCTTTTCTACCCCAGATGTGCTGAATCAGAATCTACATTTTAACAAGATCCCCCAGGTGAGTGTTAGAAATTCTTAGCAGAGGGTTGAACCGGGATGAATCCCATTCACTCCCTTCCCTTAGTGCCCCTTTCCCACCCACCCCAGCCAGGCCTGGGGAGCCCCTGTGTGTGATGCTGAGGAGCTATTCTGCCTCTGCTGAGTGTGAGTGGACTGACTGGGCGAGTGGGTGCATCTTGCCCACGGAGCACTAGAACAGGGGCCAGACGGGGAGTGGCACGAGGGAGTAGGCTCCTGTTCTCACATCGTCTGACACCCGCAAGCAGTCACGTTTGTCCCTGTCAGTTGCCTGCCTGGTGTGGGCAGGAATGCCCCTGCACCAACCTTGGGAAGTCAGTGGTTCCCAGGGTAGCCATTTTGTCCTGCCCCATGGCCAACGTCCATAGTATTTATGCCCATTTTATGGTGGAGGGTGGCCAGACCCAGACACGGCTGCGGCACACATTCCCATGCCCCACGGTCCTGAGAGGCAAGCCGGGACAGCCTAATCCCTCCATCTGAGCACTGAGCCTGCAGCCCCTGACGTGAGTGGCTTGCCTATGAGCACCCATGTGACAGAGGTAACCTCACTGGAATTGAGGGTCCAGGGTCCTTGTTTCTGCTGCAACACTTTGGGGAAAATGTATCTTCCAGGCCCTGGCTGTCTCTCTCCTGTGAGGCAGCCTTCCCTAGACATGTCAACATTATGACTAGGGTAAATGGATGGATGAGTAGGTTATTTCCAACATGACCAAATGCTCTCACAAGAGGCTTTGAGCATCTCTCCTCAGGTCTGGGGAGGTGGTTCAAACCCACCAGCCACTCCACGGAAGAAAGACTGGGCAATCTTCCATAAAGATTTACCGCCTCAGAAACCCTATGGGGGTCATTGCTATGAGTCAGAATCAACTTGATGGCAGTGGGTTGGGTTTGCTTTTTTTCTCACGGCATTTCTATGAGTTCCGGAGATTAAACCTTTCTAAGCCAAAGCAGACTCCCAAATGACCCCAACCCTGCATGGAGGAAGGCTGCTGGAGTGTCAGGGTCCATGAGTTTGGTGTTCCCAGTGTGATTCTCAGGCCCCAGGAATCCTGCAGCTGAGAGCATCAGCCAGCTCAATTTGTAGCTTGCTTGGGTGACTTTCTTGACCTGAGCTTCATCATCTGTCAATTGAGGGGGAAAAAAAAATCCCTCCTCTCTTTGTCTTCCACCATGTTGTTGTTATGTGCCGTCAAGTCGGCCCCGACTCATAGCGACCCCTCCTTGGGTTTCTTCACTACGGAAGTAGGATTGCCCAACCTTCCTTCCGAGGAGTGGCTGGTGGGTTTGAACTGCCAGCCTTCTGGTTAGCAGTCAAGTGCTTTAGCCACTATGCTACCAGAGCGCGGCTGAATCCAGTAGAAGGAGGACAGTGGCACCTTCTGGTCAAAGTGTGGAATTGCAGCCTACCTCTATCAGACATAAGTGATGAAAGTTGAAATCCTAGATTGAGGAGACCCTAAGTGGGGGAAGGTACTCTGGTAACTAAAAGGTCGGTAGTTTGAACCCAGCATCTGCTCTGTGGGAGAACGATGCGGCCATCTGCTTCTGTAGAGAATTACAGCCTTGGACACCCTGTGAGGCAGTTGTATTTGCTAAAGGGTCGCTGTCAGTTGGAAGTGACTCAATGGCAGTGGGTTTTTGGTAAGTAGAGGAGCATTCATATGTCCAAGTGCAGCCATGGTTTTTTAAAAGTATAATGAACCCAGCTCAGCAGAATTAGAGTGTTAGGGAAGGGTTCTGGAGGAATCCCTTAGAGACAAGGCTATAGTCCTAAGCTACAGTATGCAGGACAAAAGAGAAAGAGAAGACCAGTGATGATTCCCTGGACATTTTATTCTGTGGAAGATGTATAAAGTGAAGGGGAGAAGATCTGGGGTCTCTTAAAAGAAGACTGTGGAGAGTGTAGTAAAGAGCACAGGGTCTGGTGTCAACCTGTGTTTGAATCCTAGCACTGCCATTCACTAGCCTTGTGACTTAGAACAAGTTGCTTAACCCTTCTGAGCATCAGTTTCCTTATATGTGAACAGGAGGGAATAGGGAGCTCTGGTGGCATTGTACCTAAGCCATTTGACTGCTTACCAGAAAGCTGGTGGTTCAAACCCACGAGTCACTCCTTGGAAGGAAGACTGGGCAATCTACTTCCTTAAAGATTTACCACCTCAGAAACTCAAAGGGGGTCTCTATGAGTTGGAATCGACTTAATGGCAGTGAGTTTTTTTTTTTTTTTTTTTTTATCTTGAGTTGACATGCATGGGGAACTGAGCCCAGCGTCTGCTCTTATAATCCCAGCTCTGAAGTGTTGGAGTTGTACAGGTTTTCCTTAGTGTGGTGGTTATGTTTGTGTGTCAACTTGGCTGGGCCTGGTTGAGTGGCTGGGCAGCTGGTGGTAGTTATTCCCCATGATGAGACTGGCAATCAACTCCATGATGGGCTCTACCACAAGCCGCTGAGTAGCTGCCTTAGGGAATGTGGTCTGCTTCCTGTATATAAGCAGAAGCTTTGGGGAATGGTCTCTAGCCTATGGCACACTTAAGTCCAAGTTCAAAGTACCAGGCTCTAGACTTAAAGCCTCCAAACTGTAAGAGAATAAACAGGAGTTTGTTAAGGCCATCCCATTTGTGGTACATTCTTGTCAGAGCAGCACTAGATAACCAGACCACTTAGTGTTGAATGAGTGCCCAGGCTGGCCTAGCATGTTCACTGGAAGCTGGTGGGATGGCTCTGGCTGGGGCCATGGAGAATGTCTCCTGCTTTGTTAACCAAAGCCCCACTGACAGACATCTAGCATAAGGCCACCTTCTTCCCTTGTTCCAGATGTTCCTGTCCTAGTGAGGGATGTCTGGGCTGGCACTGGGATCTGGAAGGCACAGATGTTCTTGGCAATGGGAAAACCTGCCCTGAGCTCTTCCTTGAGGAGGGCAGGCTGAATTCAACCAGGATCTCCAAGTGCCTTCCCCAGGAAAGAAGCCCAGTGTCCTAGGATCTCAGAACTAGAAGGGCTTTTAGATCCTGCAGATGATGAAACGGAGGCCCAGACAGCAAGGGACTTGCTCAAGGTCAGCCCATGGCAGTGGTAAGGAGAGCTTAGTGGGCACATGCTTGGTGCCCAGCTCTGGGCTTCTCCCACACACACACAGCACACACACCAGCATCTCGCTGAATCCCCACCATCACCTGGGGGGGGGGGACAGGCTGTTCTCACCCCCATTTTGCCGATGAACAGCCAAGTTTAGAGCTTAAGCAACTTGTACCCAGGTCTGGTGACTCCACCACTGTGCTTCACTCATGGATTGTAGCTGTGGTTCCCAATCTCTCCCTCCCCAAGTCAGAGCCTCGGCTTCATCACACAGCCCAGGGACCTCTGTGGCAGAGGGAGAAGAGGGTTAGCCGGGTGCCAGGAGGGCAGAAGTCAACATGAATGTCAGATTGCATCATTTGTCCAGCCCACCTGTCCAGCTAACCTCTGTGTGTTCACACACAGGTCCAAAGACACTACATATACACACACATACACAGTGGCACACTCCCACACATGCATATGCACATACACTCTCAGGTATACACACCCAAGGCCATTCTTGCACACCACTCCGATCCAGCATGTACCATGTGTGCACACAGCCTGGTACACAGGAGGAGCTGTTATTTCTGGGCGAAAGCATGCATAGACTTCCAGACTGTAGGGACTCTGGCCCCTCTTTTAACAGAGAGAAACTGGCCTCCAGAGAGTAGAACCAGCAGGGTCATTCTGAGTGTCTGCCACATGCCAGGTGTGGTGGGACCACTGAGGTGGATCAGGAGCAGGCAAAGGTGATCTGTCTGCCTCCAGGGAGCTGCCTTTCCCACCGTCACTGTCCTCTTGACTCCAGGTGCCGTTGGAGGGTGCCAGAAGCAGGGGTGTCTTTGAGAGTTGAATAAATCTTGGGGCATCATCTCTCCATTTCTCAAGCCCATCCCAGTCCATGGTCAGTGCCTGGACCACCTAAGACTCCCCAGACCACACCATGACCCAGCACCTCCCTTCCTTAAGCCTTTCCAGAGAGAGAGAACTTTTGTACCTACCAGCAGTGTTTATGGAGAGTGGAACTCTGTCACTTACAAGCTAAGCCAGGCCTTGTGCAAATTCCTGAAACTGAGCCTGTTTCCTTGTCTCTAAAATGGGGATAATACACACATTGGAGGGGTTAGCATATGATATTCATTGTCTTGATTGTGGTGATTTCACGGGTGTGTACACAAGGTGAAATTTACTAAATTGTACTCTTGAAATAGAGACAGTTTATTGTATGTCAATTATATTTCTATAGAGCTGTTTTATATATATAGGATACGCCCCACCCCTAGCCACACTGCCGTCACACATGGGCGTACAGGGGTGAGAACACGAGAGCTTCCTGAGGCAGGAGGCTGGGCAGAGGCTCTCAGGCTCCTGGACCTCCTTATTCAATGAGGCTGGGCAGAGGCGTTCAGGCAGCAGGGGAGGCCAGGTTCAAGGCCTCTGGCACCACCTGGCTGTCATGCCAGGCAGCTGAGCAGCTTTTGCCTTTGCAGAGTGGTTCACTGAGCTGTGAAGACAGATTCCAGAAGCAGAGAACCCACGTCACCAATTCCAGGTACTTAGCACCCTAAGTTTTTCCTGCTTCCATCTCCCTCTCTCCTTCCGTCCTTGGTGACCAGTTGCCTGGCTATGGTTGCCACGGGCACCGTCTGCTGAGTCAGGGTCTGCTGAGTCGCCAGCAGCCTGGGTCCTGGGCAATCTGGTCCAGCTGGCTGGGACAGGGCCTGGTAGGCAGGCAAATGGTCAGTGCAGGGGAGAGTTGTGGGGATCAGTCAGAATCCCCCACCCCCACCCCAGCCTCACCAGTTCTAGGTGTTTCCCCCTCCAGTCCAAAGGGCAGCATGGGCCTGTCAGAGGAAGGCTGGCCAGCAGGTGGGCTTGTAAGATGTATTAGAGACTGCATGGTCTGTCCATGTGGCCAGGCTCCAGGTCCTACATGGCTGGGTGGCCTACGACAGCCCCTTCACCTCTCCAAAACTCCAGGCATGTGGGAAGTCCTCAATATGCGGGAACCTGCATCAGTACAGTGACAATGGCAGGTGACCCTTCTGGGCTCCCGTCCATCTGTGGAGAAATGTCCACAGCCTTTCCCGTTGGTATTTAATAAGGAGCCCAAGCTGATTCCAACTTGGTCCAGTGGAAATGCTCCCACCCAGACACAAACCTGCTCCCTCTAAATGGGGGACAGTGAGCCAAGTGTCCATGGAGCAGGGACCAGATAGCCTGGATTCAAATGTGGCCTTCCGAACTGTTGACTATATGACCTTGGGCAGATGACCTTGCCTCTCTGACCCTCGGTTTCCTCTTCAGCAAAGTGGGCACAATACCTACCCTCAGTGCCCTGTGGAGATGTGCTGGGGGAAACAGAGAGAGCCTGCTGGACAGCAGGAACACTGGCTGCAAGGTCAAGGAAACAGGAGGCCATGGGCACGGGGGAAACCTGAGTGTAGCTGAGGGGTGGGAGCAGGTGGGAAATGGGCATCTGTGCCTGCTGCAGAGCTCATCCAGGTCTCCTGGGAAAGGTCCCCAGCTTAGAGAGAGTCACTCTCTGGGACTCAGTTCCTCTACCTACACATTGGAAGAACTGGTCTCTGAGCCCCTCCCCACTGAGCATTTATAGAATTTAATTCACTGAGGTACTTGGGGTCCACTGTGTTCCAGAGCTCTGGGTAGCTCAGTGGTTAAGGCATTCGGCTGCTAACTAAAAGGTTGGCACTTCAAACCCACCAGCTGCTCCATGGGAGAAAGAGGATGCAGTCTGCTTCTGTAAAGATTTACATACAGGCTTGGAAACCCATTGGAGCAGTTCTATGCTGTCCCACAGGGTTGCTGCGAGTCGGAATCCACTAGATGGCAGTGGGTTTTGGGTTTTCTCAGAGATTCTTGCATTTGAAAAGAGCCACAATGCCTACAATCCCAATAAGGTACCTGGTGGGAGAGGTGCAAGTGGGAGCAGCACTGCGTGCTGGGTAAGAGCCCAGGTTCTGGAGCTGGACACACACATGCACTCTGACCTTAAGGCTCAGTGTTAACCTCTGCGATAGGGATGACAGCACCTAATCTGTGGGGTCATAGTGAGGTTCAGGGCCTGGCACTGTCTGCTTAGCAAGGAACAGTTATGACTGGAAACATATCTGCTGCTAGAGGTTCAAGGCCAGGTCCCCTTCCAAGTCTCCCAACTGCTGTACATCCTTCCCTCCTCCTGGCCTTGGCCCAACAGCTCAGTTCAGATGCCTTTTCGCACAGGTAGGGGATTGGCTCAAAGAAGTACCTCTCCCCTCCCAACCCCAAACTCTGCTGTTAGCGTTCCTGGTCCCAGCGTGGAACGGGCTATGTGTGTGCAGGGTCAGGGTCCCCCAGGGTGGAAGGAGTGTGGCTGGATGAAGAACAGCTCTCCAGCTGGCCCTGAGTATGGGTGAACATCCTGTTCCCAACCCACCAGTGACAGCTTGTCCAGGGGATAAGGCCACCCAAGGCAGGGGGGGGTGCTGAGGGACCAGCTGGGGGAGCTATTTGCAGAGCCAAGCCGGCAAAGACTGACTGGCCCTGGTCACTCACTTTCCTCTTTGACTCACTTCAGACAAGATGTCCAGCAAAGGCTCAGTGGTTCTGGCCTACAGTGGTGGCCTGGACACTTCCTGCATCCTCGTGTGGCTGAAGGAACAAGGCTATGACGTCATTGCCTACCTGGTGAGGAGGTGCCCTCTGTGTCTGTCCTATCATCTGTTTATCCTGCTGCTTGGCCAGTCCTTAGCCGGGCCATCTGCCTGTCTGCTCACTGGCACTTGTCCAAGCCCAGCTCTCCTCATCGCACTGCCTCACTGTCCTCATCTGTCAAATGGACATCCTTAATGTCCTCCAGGTCTGGGATGCCCCCTAGAGCAGGGAGGAGGCGAGCTCTCATACAGGTGACCAGAAGGAGACACAAGGTGTGGCCTTGGCAGTGTTGACGGCTCAGCCTGCCTGGAGAGGAACAATGAGCTTGGGCCTGAGGCCCATGGGGAAGGCACACGGTATTCCTTTGTTTAGTGTCCCCCGCCAGCCCCCCAGTCATTCAGATTACCAAGTCCTACACTGGCTGAGCTGGAGGAGTCCTTGGAGATGACCTAGTGTTGGAATGGTAAATAGGTCATCGTTATTAAATGACAGATTTTAGAGTTGAGTTATAAACAATTTTAACAAATATTTTATTTGAAAATAAACCCAAGTGCTGCAGCAAGAAAGCTTGGCTCTCAAGAGGAGACACCAAGGACTTCAATTTGAGAAATTTTATGGAAGCTTTGAGAAAGTTAATTGGGAAAACAAGGGACAAATTCTGGAAAGTTGTATTTAAGCATAGGTGAGTCCTTTTGAAGCAAGGGCAAGTTTGCGATTGGACCACGTGTCCTTTTCTTCATTTGTAATAGGTGCAAGGTTCTCGGCTTTACTACAAGGAAGTCTGAAGAGAATGTGGGTTTGCAAAGTCTTGGTGAAATAAGATTTATAATTTTAGATGGAAGCATCTGGAGCTGGTCTAAACTGGTTATGGTTGCTCCTGGTTGACATAGATCATAGGTAATAGACCATGTATGATGCCACTCCGCTATCCAGGGTCCATAGCAGACATCACTAATCAAATGAGCTCTACTTCTGATGAACTTAGACACAGCCTCTGAATCATTCTCCATTTGGCTACACTATTCAAGACTCTTGGCTGCAAGTTCTAGAGATCCAACTCAAATCTGCTTAACAGGTAGTGGGGAGGAGCAGCTCTTAGCTCATGCAACTCAGAAGTCCAGGTGCATCTGGCTTTAAGGCCAGGCTGGATCCAGGTTCTTATCCAGGTTCCATCTCCATCTCTGCCTGGCTTTGTTCTTAGCCTTACTACATGGCAGGCAAGATGGCTGCCAACAGGCCCACCCTTACATCCTTATAGCTCAGCATTCCCACAAAGAGCAGGCTTCCCCAGTGGCTCTGGTAACAGGGCCCAGGGGCATTCTCATTGACTTATCTAAGTCACTGCCCACCAAGTGTCAGTCACCACGGTTGTGATATGGGAGGCTCTGATTGGTCAGTGAGAAAGAGATGTGATCTGTTCCACTCCAATCTTGTGGAAAGGGGTCTCTGCAGGAGAGAACATTCTGTCCCCAGAGGAAGTGGGGATGGGGATCTGGACAGACAGAAGGTCACCTGTCGCCATGGGCAGTTTGTTTGCCATTGAAGCCATCGTGCCGGTCTAACTGCAGCCAACCCCCTTGACATTCGGGTGGGGAGAGGGATGCTGCTTGTTCATTCACCTGCTGAGTGGAGCCACAGCTTTGAAGGGAGCAGAGAGCCCAGGGCATGCTCATATTGCCATTGGCAGCACAGTGGGGCAATTGGAAATAGCCCCTAGACCACCAGTAGGTAGATTTAAAAGCTGAGTGACCTCAGACAAACACCTGCAACTGGGCTTTGGGAAGATCCTGGAATCTGGTGAGCAGGATGCAGGGAGCAAGGTTTTAGGCCAGGGTCTGGGCCACAGGCCAGAGTCCAGCTGGCAGAAAATATGTCAGTGTCTAGACAGGGGTGGTGGAAGCAGAGGTCAGGGCCCCAGCTGCAGGGACAGTGCTGGGAGCACAAGCTTCTCTGGCTCCTGTCCCACTGGACCCCTCAGAAGGGTCAGGTCTCTGCTTTTGACTGGGGAAGTATGTAAGCTAAGAGCCAGGCAGTTCCTGACAAGCCAACCTTGGCACTGGCTGTATGAAGGTTGGATTCAAGGGAAATCTTTGCCCTCCCTAGGCAATCCCAACAAAACATTGCATTCCGTAAGTCTGTGTGCACAGGGCAAGGATTAACCAGTCCTTGGCCCCATAGAAACCGCTTCCCAGTACACTTGGGTAACTCCAACTATTGTCAGCTCCTGGAAGTAGCTCAACCTCTCAGGCCCTGGTTTGTGCCCTTTCTCCTTACCATGACCTCAGGCCCATCAGATGGAAACGCTCTCCATCTGAGGGCTGTCGTGAGTGGCCAGTGCTTGCCCAGGGCTCACACGGGGCTGGGGGGTGGGAGGGGGGCTCTACTCATGCTCTCCTTTCTGCCCCCTGGCTGATTGAGTCTCTGTGTTTCCACTCCTCAGGCCAACATCGGCCAGAAGGAAGACTTTGAGGAAGCCAGGAAGAAGGCACTGAAGCTTGGGGCCAAAAAGGTACCAAGTGGGATTTGGGGTTCAAAGTGAGGTTGTGACATGGTAGAGGCAGCCATAGGTATTCCTGATCCAGAACTCCTTGCCCTCAAATTCCTTCTGATTTGTCTTCTTGCTTCAAGAGTGTGAGGTTGCTTCTTTCTGCTCTCAGATGTGTGAAGGTCATCTTCCTGCCTCCCTCAGGTACCCAGCCACCCACTCATCCCAGCTCCTCATGCAGCCATCTTCTCTCCATTCATCCATCCACCACTCATGCATCTACCTGCCCACCTTCCTTTTATCTCTCCAGCCACCCCTCTATCCCATCATCCATCCATCCACCCACCTGCCTATCTCCCTTTTCTCTCTCTATCCCTGTATCCAGCCCTCCATTTGTCCATGCTATCCCTCTCTCCACCCACCCATCCATCTGTTTATCCTTCTCTTGTTGGTGTTTTGAAATAATTATAGGTTCACAGGAATTTTGAGAAAACAGTACTAAAATGGGGGAAGGACAAAATGAGGTACAACTGCTGAATGGGTATGAGGTTTCTTTTTGGAGTGATGAAATGTTTTGGAATTAGACAGAGGTGGTGGTTGTACAACATTGTGAATGTGTTAAATGTAGCTGAGTTGTTTGCTTTCAAATGGCTAATGTTATATTATGTTAAGGAGCTCTGGTGGTGTAGTGCCTAAGGCATTTGATTGCTAACCAGAAGGCTGGCTGTTCAAACCCACCAGCCATTCCTCGGAAGGAAGGTCAGGCAGTCTACTTCTGTAGTGATACCACCTCAGAAACCCAAGGAGGGGTCGCTATGAGTTGGAGCCGACTCGACGGCAGTGCATTTGGTTTTATATTATGTTATGTGAATTTCACCTCAATTTAAAAAATACAGAGAGTCCCGTGACCCCATTGTTGTTAGGTGCCATCAAGTTGATGTCAATTCATAGTGACCCCATGGGGCAGAGTGGAACTGACAGGTTTCCTGGGCTGTAATCTTTATGGGGCAGATCACCACATCTTTCTCCCACGGAGCTATGAGTGTGTTTGAACCTCCAGCCTTTTGATTAGCAACCAAGTGCTTGACTGTTGTACCACCAGGGCTCTTGTGACCCCATTAGACTCAGACATTAATAAGAACCCCAAGAGCTTTTGTGGATTGCATCTGTTAATATTTATACCACTGGAAATAAAAGCTGACAGTGTAAAAATATGAATTCATTTAAAAAGAACAATATAAATTATATATTTACTTATTAAAAATAATTATTTTCCAAAGCAAAAAATGTCATCAAGAATGGCATGGTTTACATTTTTTCAAGTCTCTCTTAATGACTGGCTTAAGAGAAGATAACTGGATTTGATAATTGGATTCTTGTAGCCATTTCAGCATTCAACCTGTCCTGGATGGTTTTGGTTGAAGTTTATGAAGAAAACCTGGCCTCAGAGATGTATCATTGGGAAAGAGGAGTATTTTAATAGCGTTTTTCAGAGAATTGGGAACCGTCTTTGATATTGCACCAAAATTCAATGGGTGGTAGTGTGTAAAGATTACTGTATCGTAGAATCCAACACTGTGTCATTGGCTTTTTGTACTCTGTTGCATTAAAATCCACTGGTCCATCTTGCACTTTGAAAGAATCCTTTTCTTGAGCATGACTGTATAACGTCACACATTGATCTTTTGGAAAACATTGTTTCACTGAATTATGCAGCTCTTCTATGTACTGACACATTTCACTATACAAAATTAAAATATCACATTCATTAATGTCACCACTACTTACATCAGAAATATTGGGAAGCCGTCAAACTCACTGAGGTGGATGCAAACTTTCTAATCTAATTTTGCTTGAAAGCTTGAATTTTACCATTAGCAACCAATACTCTCAGTTTTTCTTGAGATGACAGGCTCACTTTATTAATTTTTGTGAAATGTCTGCCAAAGCCCAAGTCTGAATAACCATCTTTTGTTTATGAGTTGTTCTTTCAAGTGAGAACCAGGTACCATGCAAAAAATGGCTAGTTCAGCTTGTAACTCAAACATGGCACACTGCTCTTCCTTCCTATTTTGGTGTGCAGCAGAGTGACATGTGTGTACTTCACATTTCAAACTCAAGGGTTGAGATTTAGTAAAAGTCATCGTTTTTATTGCTTCATCAAGGCCATTCATAATGTAAGCATTTTTCATAGACCTTAGCCCTATTTTTCATTGACATACCAGACACAGACAATGCAGACAAGAATGCAGTGGCTATGAGGACAGTTTGTTCACATAAGCATTCCTGGTAAGCATTTCTCACAGACTGTGGCCCTATTTTTCATTAACACACCAGACATAGACAATGAAGACAAGAATGCCATGGCTGTGAATACAGTTGGATGCTTCTGCCTAGATTCATGCTAAGCCAGACGTTTTACCCATCAATGCTTTTTCATCATCAGTGCAAAATGTCAACACAGTGAAAAGGCAAATAACAGTATCATTACAGAAAATTTTTAATTCAGATTCTTCCTGAAAGGGTCTTAGTTACCTCTAAGGAGGTCTATAGAATCAGGGTTTCTCAACCTTGCTAATAATATTGCAAGGTGGCCAGCTATCCTATGCATTGTAGGATGTTTAACAGCATCCTTATTCTTTATACACTAGGTGCCAAGTCATCCCCCAACTCTGCCAGTTGTGACAACCGAAAATATCTCAGACATTGACAAATGTCTGCTGGAGGACAGAATCGTCCCCAGCTGAGAATCACTGCTTTAGATCTTAGACAGCAACTAAGTTTCAGCTCATGCCCAGAATCCTGTGTTTGGAGGGATTGAGGGATCACAATCAGTTTCAGCTGGATGGTGGGTCAAGATTAGTAATGTCTGCCATGACTGTAGGAGGGAAAGTATCGGTATGGTATGCTGGGATTGATTAGTGATGTCTACTGCAGATGCAGAAGGAGAAGCATAGGTATACTTTGCCATGATGAACTAGCAGATTAGCTGAATCTGCCTAGAGGCAGACTATTGGAGGCCCCTGGGGCTCTCTATTCTGATTGGGTCCCAGTCCTTACTGAAGCTCCCTCCCATGGGCTCCTCTCCCCATAGGTGTTCATCGAGGATGTCAGCAAGGAGTTTGTGGAGGAATTCATCTGGCCTGCTGTCCAGTCCAGTGCGCTCTACGAGGACCGCTACCTCCTGGGCACCTCTCTTGCCAGGCCATGCATCGCCCGCAAACAGGTGGAAATCGCCCAGCGAGAGGGAGCCAAGTATGTGTCTCATGGTGCCACAGGAAAGGTGAGGCCAAGAAGCTATGGTGTAGGGGAGGGCGGGCAGAGGGAGTAGGCCACTTTGCCCAGGGCAGAGGGACCTGCAAAGGACAAAGAAAATGAGGACAACAAATAATCTTAGATCAGTTTTAGGTGTTGCCTCCAGAATTGAGTCAGATGCTCAGATTGGCCATTGTTAAAGTCCAGAAAAGAGTAAGAGTAGCAGGTAGTCACTGAGCAGTGGCTGTGGGAGAGGCAGAGGGGGTCAGGACTGGGTTGCAGCCAAAATGAGGGGTTTGATCTCATCCTGCAGCAACTGACTAGGATCGAGGAAGGGTTCCAGGCCAGATGGGGATGACTGGGGACTCCCCCAGCAGGACACTTAGGAATTGTTCTGAACTGCAATCAGATCCTGTGGAAGAAAGAACTAGGAAGCATTTCTCATGAACCATAGCCCTATTTTTCATCAACATGCCAGTTGTGAGCACATTTTGAGTAGGATCATGGGAAACCAGATGAGGAGATGTTGACAGATCTGGCTGGTCAGGGCATGAGAGTGCTACCTCCCACTTCAGGGTATCGGCAGAAGAGGATACACCAGAGTCCAGAAGTGAAGGAGTTGGTCCCTAGATGTTCATGGGTTCGAATACTGCCTCCACCACTTTCATGCTGCCTGGAATTGGGCAAGGGACTTCACCTTCATGAGGCTCCATTTTCTTGCCTGTAAAATGGGAATAAAATAGAATCTAACTCATGGGTCATCAGAGTAATGAGTAAGATAATTCCAGTGAAGTGCTCAACACAGGCCTGGCACATAGTGAAATGCTCACGTAGGAACTGCTCTCATTGGACCATGATGTACAATGATCACTTGTTCTTGGAGCTCTGGCAGGCAGAAGCACCGGGAGGCAAATGGTAACATAGAATGAAAAAGCGTCCAAGCCTGTTCATCTGTCCATGATGGACTAAGCAGAACACTGAGCTCCGTATTCTAGGAGGCATTCAAGCTGAGGCCAGGCCTGTTAAAAGTTACTCAGGGCTGAAGATAGGCAGCATTCAAGACTGGTAGAGCCAGTGGATTAGTATGTGGGTGGCTCCACCCCCTGGACTCCACCCATGTACAGCTGGGAGTAGCTATCAACAGTTGTGTGTGCTGTACCTCCAGGCAGCCACAAGAGGGCACCAGAGGCTCAAATTTGAGGCCTTCCGGAGCTGATGTCTCCAAAGGCAGGGGAGGATGGGGGAGGAAGAGGTTGCAATGGTGGTTGCCACCCAGCGACCACTCTTCCCCAGTCTGGTCCTGCAGGTCTTTGGTTCTGACAAGAACACCCTCTGTGAAGCATTCTGTGGTTCCTTGGGGCTGAGGAAGTCCCTATAGTTCATGCTCAGGCCCCAAAAGAGGGACTGTCAGACTTGGAAACAGCAGCTTGGGGCCCTCCAAGACCAGTGGGGGAAGGTCACAGGTGATGGGGAGCTGAGTTCTATCCTGGTTCTGCCATCTCTTTTCTTAGGATTGGTGGGCAAGGTGTATCCCAGTGCCTCAGTTTTCCCTTCTTTACAGTCCCTGGGGAAGCCCCCAGCAGGCCCTGCAAAACTTTCCGCCTGGGAGTAACAGTGACGGCGAGAGTGCTCCCCTTTGCTGGGGTGTAAGCAGTTGAATGACTTCCCCACAGCCACAGAAGAGACTCAGTGTGGCTTCTGGGAGGGTGCCAGTCCTCGGATTCTGGATCCTGAGCCAGGCAGTGGAGGGAACCAGGGTCCCTAGGTCCTTGTCCAGACATTGCCTTCATTCTTCTGTTCCCTGATGGAGCACTAGCTCTCTCCCAGATACTTGCCCTTAAAGGACAAGCTTGGTGGAAGCCCTTGATTAGAGTGTCTCATCTATGGGGAGGGGAGTCAGGAGGAGTGAGGTTGAGCTATTCAGGGGGAGCATGAGTTTGTCAGTGGAGCCGAGTCAGAAAAGACTCCCTAGGCTGTACAACACTTGACTGCTAACCAGAAGGCTGGGGGTTCAAATCCACCAGCCACTCCTTGGAAGGAAGATGGGGCAATCTACTTCTGTAATGATACTGCCTCGGAAACCCAAGGAGGGGGAGCTATGAGTCGGGTCCGACTCGACGGCAAACAACAACAACAACAACAGGCTGTACGAACAGCCTGGGCAAAAGGCCTGGAGGCAAGAGGCACCTCCCTCCCAGGTGCCCCCCGTCCAGGCAGCACTTGGAGCAGAGAGCGCCGCTCACCACACTGTGACCGTGAATCCTCCCCATGAAGAAAGATGCACAGACCCCGAGGCTGCTCTTCCAGGGCCAGACACTTGAGCCTGTAGCTCCGGTGAGGTATAGGGTAGCGGGAGTTTGTAAACGGCACCATCTGTGTGGCTGTCCCAGGAGCAGATGGGGACTCCCCCAGTCCCTCCAATCGTGGTGGGTGCTGCACTGCCCTTACACACATCTACACGAATGTCAACATGTGGACATGTGTGTGAGACTGCATCACACACACGTACATCCGTTGCCAGAGGCTTCCCCTGGTGCTGGGCGTGCTGGGGCTAGGCAGAGGATTGACTAGATGGGGCCCTTGGCTCTGAGTGGAGGCAGGGTTTAAACCAAAGAGAGTTGCTTGTTTGGTTTCTGCAGGGTCTCTGACTCTCGAACAGATGGGTGTCCCCACGGTGGGGCCTGAGGAGGCACAAGGCGCTTTTGTGTTGGGGAAACATGAAGCCGTGGGGGTTGGGGGTGGGAAAGAAGACTTGAGGGGAGGAAATAGCCAGGACATGCAACTTTTGACCATGAGCTTTACAGATCTAAAATGAATCTGCTTTTTATTTGTAGCAGCCATTGCAGCAAGAATTGCTGCCCATGGGTCTTTGGGCAAGTGTCATTGCCCCATGCCTCAGTTTCCTCATTTCTGAGATGGAAATAATAGTAGAACTGCTCTCTTGAGGCTGCTGTAAAGATTCAGTGAGTTGGTTAGTACAGAGCTTGACTGCATGCGTGAGTGTGGGCTCTCAGGATGATCCTGTTCAGATAGTGGCTGTGTGACCCTGAGCAAGTGACTTGACCTCTCTGAGCCTCACTTTCCTCATCTGTCAAACATAGTAGGTGCTCACTGAAAGGCCTGGCTGGCGTGAATGGACAGGAGCTGCTGGAGAGGAGCAGCCTCAGATACACAGCTCCCTGCTCTGCTGAGAGGGGCTGAAACCGATATTTCCACATCGTCTGACAAGACTCTGGAAAATAACATGTTATTCCCGCCGCTGCCTCACTGCGCTGTGCAGTTTTCACAGTAGGCAAAAGGTCCCTCTGTTATTTCCACAGCGCTTAAGTCTCCCTCTGGGAGCTGAGTGGATGGGGTGCAGATAGGACGCTGGCCGCCATTTTTGTTCTAAGCAGGGCTGGCTGTAGCTGGTACTGTGACTGGTGGCCTGTGGCGCCCCTTGGCCCTCCTCATCCTCCTTTTCCTCCTCCTTGTTGTCAGTGTGGCCAGTGCATTACAGAGTATGTCTTAGATAATGTTCACCCCTCAGTGGAATTTAGAGCTTAGTCTCCATCTTATAACAGGGCCACAGGCTCAGAGAAGCAGGGCAACCTGCGTGGGGCAGAGGGGGCAGGACACCTTGGCTCAGGTCCTGGCTCTGCTCAGCTGTGTGCCCTTGGACCAGTCCTTTTCCCTCTCTGGCCCTCAGTTCCTATCTGTGATGAGAGGAGTTGAAATGCAAAGGGACTCAGCCATCAGCTGATTTGACCTATACTCCCAAACCAGCCGCTGGTTCATGGGGAAACTGAGGCTCAGAGAAGGAACACCCACAGCTGTTGAGTCAATTCTGACTCATAGGGACCCTATAGGTCAGAGTAGAACTGCCCCATAGGCTTTCCAAGGCTGTAATCTTTATGGAAGCTTCTGTGGAGCAGCTGGTGGGTTCAAACCACCAATCTTTTGGTTAGCCGCCGAGTGCTTTCACCACTGCATCACCAGGGCTCCTTTAGAGGAGCAACAGGAGCAATTGTGTGGATGTGGAGGGATTAAGCATCATGGGGCCCAAGCCCTGAAGTGCGCTTGTCCTCTAGGCTGGAGCAGGGGCTTGGTCGTGCCTAGCAGGTGGGTGCGGAGGGGTATGGGCTACGTGGAGAAGGGGCGGAGCTGGGCGCCTCAGAGCTTCTAACACCTGGAGTCTCCACAGCCTGCCCCAAGGGCAGAGACATAGCTACAGAAAATAGCAGGGAGGCGATTAGCTTTAAATTGCTGAATGATCTGTCACCCTGGATGGAAACAGTGATGGTGAACAGAAACTGTTCATCGGTGCCCCATGAAGGTGTGCGCACGGCATATGCCACACCCGCCATACTCTGGAAACACCTCTGCCCAAGGAAGGAAAATGGGTGTATGCGGATCCCTTGCACACTCTCATATGCACACCTCAAACCTCATGCACACCTCTACACTCTGCCACGGGCACACCTCCCATGTGCACATGCTCTGTTGTGGGTTTACCCATGTACACTCCACCTGATGTGTTCGCTGACATACACGCCCCACCATCCCCCACCTTGGGTGGGTGGGTCCATACAAGCCCACCTTGTCAGATGCTTACAAGTGCACATTCACACACACAACAATCGCAGCTGAGACCTACACAGCTCAGCACACACGTGGGGCACATAGGCATTCAGTCCTACACACAGAGTTTGGCTCTATACACAGGAAGTCCTGGGTTCAAGTCCTAATTTCACCTGTGAGAGTCACCTGGTTACTCAGCCTTTCCAAGAAAGCCCCTTTGCTTTGAAAAGCAGGTTAATAACAGAACCCACCTCAGAAGGCTGTTGAGGTTGAATGAGAGACACAGGTGAAGCATCTAGGTGCCTGCCCTGAGCAGCCCTGTGTGTTATTTGTGGTCACCTGTGTGCATACTTGGGCGCTCTGGTGGCATAGTGCCTAAGGCATTTAACTGCTAACCAGAAGGCTGTCGGTTCAAACCCACCAGCCAGTCCTTAGAAGGAAGACTGGGCAATCTACTTCTATAGAGATACCACCTCAGAAACTCAAGGAGGGGTCGCTGGAAGTTTAGGTTTTTGTGTGTGTGCATATTCGTCACCCAGCTCCCTCCCATTCCGTGGCTCCTGACAGCCTCTGTTCTGTGTTTCAGGGCAACGATCAGGTCCGATTTGAGCTCACCTGCTACTCACTGGCCCCCCAGATTAAGGTAAGGTGTTGCTGTTTCTCTTAGGTGGCTGCTGGGGGCTGAGACCTTGTGGGAGAGAGGGTGTAAGGTTCTAGATGGTTCCACAGGACAGGGACAGTGTGCACCTGAGTCTTCTCCCATGGTGGACAGTGCCCATCTTTCCAACGGTGAGACTGCATTTGAGAGCATCTGGGAGGACCGTTCCCAGTGAGGCTGCCTTTTCTCACGCCAGCTGCAGGGAGCAGCATCTTTCCCCTGGCCCTTCTTTTCCTGGAGATGGCTATACAGGTATCTGGGTAGCCCTGGGCACTAACAGTAGCAGAACATTGCCGCCCTTCAGATGTGTCCTTGGCTTCCACAGATCCAGCCTCCTGGGCGCAGACCAGAAAAGTTCTTCGGTGTGGTCAGGCAGATTTCTGGGTTATTCATACCCCTCCCACCCACTTGTGGCTGCCAGTGCCCTGGCTGCTCCCTGGCTTGTGCCCTTATCCCCAGGATCTTGGGGAATCAACTGCCCTTGCCCATAGCATGCCCTCTAGGAGTAAGCCCATGTTGGTACTGTCTAGCTGGCAACTGCTCTCCTCTGCTCCTACTGCCCTGTCGTTGGACCTGGGCCTGTGTCCACTCACCCACCCATCCATCCACCCACCCATCCATCCATCCATCCATTCATCATTCACCCACCTACCCACCGACCCATCCATCCACCCACCCACCCATCCATCCATCCATCCATCCGTTCATCACTCACCCACCCACCTACCCACTGACCCATCTATCCACCCACCCATCCATCCATCCATCCATCCATTCATCATTCACCCACCTACCCACCGACCCATCCATCCACCCATCTATCCATTCTACCCACCCCCTGACACACTGACCCATCCATCTACCCACCCATCCATTCATACACTCACCCACCCACCAACCGACCCATCCATCCATCCACCTACCCATCCATCCATCCATCCATCCATTCATCACTCACCCACCCACCTACCCACTGACCCATCCATCCACCCACCCATCCACCCATCTATCCATTCTACCCACCCCCTGACCCACCCACCCATCCATCTACCCACCCATTCATCTACCCATCTATCCATCTATCTATCCATTCATACTCTCACTTACCCACCCAACGACCCATGGACCCATCCATCCAGTGTTCACCAAGTGCCTCGGACCATGTTCCAGGGGTACAGCCAAAAGGCTCCTGACCCAGAGCAGCACTGAGTGATAGAAACAGAACACATGCCACCAATGTAAGTCCCATGTGTAATGTAACATTTTCTACTCACTCACCACCATTGAGTCCAACTCATAGCAACCTGCATTGGGTTTCCAAAGCTGTCAGTCTTTACAGAAGCAGACTGCCCCATCTTTCTTCCATGGACTGGCTGGTGGGTTCCAACCACTGACCTTTTGTTTAGCAGCCAAATGCCTTAACCATTGCACCACCAGAGCTCCTTACATTTTCTACTCCTCCCAAAAAAACACCAAACTCACTGCAGCAGAGTCAGATCTGACTCATAGCAACCACTCCTTAGTTTTCTGAGGCAGTATCACTACGGAAGTAGATTGCCCTATCTTCATTCTGAGGAGTGGCTGGTGGGTTTGAACTGCCAGCCTTCTGGTTAGCAGTCAAATGCCTTAGGCACTACGCCACCAGAGCTCCTACATTTCCTACTAGCTGCTCTAAAGAAAACGTATATATAAAGAGAAACAGGCAACATTAATTTTAATAATATGTGTCATTTAATCCAATATATCTGAAAAATCATTGTACATGCAATCAGTATAAAATGATTATTGATGGTGTGTGTTACGTTTTTTTGCACTGAAGTGTCAGAATCTGGTGTACAATTGACACTTCAGCACAGCTCTGTCAGTACTCCCACATTTCATGGGCTCAGTGGCCTCCCTGGCTCACAGCTGCCATGCTGGACACGCAGGCCTGGCCTGGGAGCTCCTCTGAGGCATGGCAGGCTGCTTTGGGCAAAAGCTAAGGAAGATTTCCCCACCCTCTCCCCAGCACCCTAAGGGGCTCTAAGGGGTTTACATTTTTTTCTTTTAAGTGAATGTCTTTCCCTGCCCCTTTAACCAGCCAGCAGCTGCTGGGGGAGGGAGTGGCCTGGAGGTGAGCCTGGATGGCTCTAATGAGCTATTTTGACCCCAAACACCAGGCTACTGGGAAGCCCTGGACAGTAGCTGTTTGTTGACTTGCTGCAGGCAGCATCAAGGGCCCTTCCCCCCAGTTCCCACAGCAGCTTGGGGGGCCAGGGTATCCAATTTCTGGGCCTTTGTGTGAGGAGGCCATGCTCAGGGGCTGAGATGGGGCCAGGGACTATTTCTAGTGTGGCGCTCAGTCCAGGGACTGCCCGTTCGTGGGCTGGGGAGGGTGTAGGATAATAACAGGCTCCTCTACTGCATCACCCCACCCCAGCCACTGCCCTGGTCCACTCTGAGGCCCATAAATCAAATAAGTTTCTCCATTTAGATGACACTCCCCCACCTGAAGTTATGGTTGGCAGAGGAAGGGGCTTGGTGAGCTTCAGGCATGAATGGGGCAGTCCTTCTCAGGATCCGTCCCTGACCCCCTCAGGGCAGTGAGGCCCATGTAGAATAAGGCTAGTCTTCCTCCAGGCTTGGACTCCCTTTGCCCCATCTCCCTCCCTTTGCTACCCAGAGCAGTTATGGGGTGCAGGAGGAAGGGAGCAAGAAGAGAAGTCTCCGGGCCCCACTGTCCAGGAACAGGGCTCGACCAGGAGATGACAGGTCCCTGGACCCTTCCTTAGTTGCCAGCAGTGGAGGGGTCCTAGCTCTTTGGCCAAGGATGTTGGGAAGGACCTTGAGGCCCACCTCATGTCCCAGTTGCGGAGGCTGAGGCCCAGATGGCAGAGACCCACAGTGCCATTGTGCCGTAGAGCTGGGACCTCTCTATAACCATCCACCAGTGTGGCAGGTTATGCCTCTCCCCTGTCTGATAGGATCCCCATCCCACCAACTCCTACAGTCTGCCTCATCTCCAAGGACACAGCACGAGACCCCTCAGTGGCCTTTGGAGCCTTGGACCCCTTCCCAGAGTCTAGCAGTGCAGCCAAAGGTCCATAGAAGACAGCAATTGGGCCTCCCAGTCCTGACTCCTTGCTCTGTGGCCAGGTTATTGCCCCCTGGAGGATGCCGGAGTTCTACAACCGATTCAAGGGCCGCAATGACCTGATGGAATATGCAAAGGTATGACTGTGCCTACCCCCCACCCTGCCTACTGCCCTCTCCGTGCTCCTCTCTGCTCACGAGCTGCCTGGCTACAATGTGAGCCCTGTGACAGCAGACTGAACCTCTGTCCCCACCACCCTGTGGCACCTGTTGTCCTCTGGGTGAGTCCCCCAGAGGTGTGGTCATCTGCCTGGTCCTTTGCTTGGGCTGGGCATCTCGAAGGGAAGTCCCCAGCCCACTGAGCAAGAGGGTGCTGGGTTCACCCTCCCTCCCATTCCCAGGGAAGCGGAGACTGGAGCCCCATTTGCCACCTCTGCAGTGTGTGTCGCTGGGGTAAGGGGACTGGGATGGCTGGGAGGTGTGAGTGAAAGGCACGGGACCTCAATTACCTGGCGACTAATTGTCCCCAGCACTCTCCCAGGAACAGGTAGGCACTCCGAGGGACAGAAGAAGACAAAGGCTTTTGTCACAGCAGCCCTTTTGAAGTACAAGTTGCAATAAAACATATTAGAAGTTTTGCATCAAGATCCTTAGCCGCTCTCCAGGGTACCTTTCTTTTTAGCGACTCTGTGGCAGCTCTTGACAAACAGCCTCAATCAATCAGATGGGGAAAAGCAACTCGGTGCACACACCAGAAAATTGCTCAGGTTTTTAAATAGCAGTCACCAGGGCTGGCTGTGAGCTCTCGCCACAGCCAAGGTGCCGCGTGGTAGGGGACGCGGCAGGGACGCAGCCCTGCCCCTGCCGCCAGCATCCCATTAAGACCTGGAGAGTGGGGAGGAAAGATCTTCTCTACCATCTGTTGTTTTATTATTAAGAGGGGAGTTTACAAGAGCAAGCCCATATGTTGCCAAACAAATTGT